CCATTCCCCACATCAGTCAATGCACTGCCCGCCCCAGAAGGAGCTGCAGACGGGCTCTGCCCCCACTGCCTCTGGCCAAGCTTGTACATGGGTAAGCATTCCTAACCTAGGCACCTCCTTCAAAAACAATCTTATATGGGTGTATATAGTCCAGGAGTCCCAGAAGGAGGGGAAGTGTTAGCCGAAACTATTCAGGAGCCTAAATTTATAAAGTAGCAGGAGCTTTTTGTTTAGAGGCTCCTCAGGAGAAGACAGGCTGCCTCCCCATCTGTGCTGCCAAGCGCTATTGCATGGGGAAGTGGAACACTGAGGGCACCAGCACCAGCACCCTCTTTGTCTTTTCTGACCTTGTGGTTAAATGAATAGCGGCTTGTCACTTTCTGTTTGATTTGTTGTTCTACTTGACCACTTCAACACCTGGCAGCTCTCTAACAGGTCCAAGAGTTCTGTGGATGGCCCTTGATGGTGTCATGAGGAGGGACAGAGAAGTTGGGCACCAACAGGCCTCCTCATCCCCACCAAACACCTACTGGGTTCAATGACAGTAGCTCTGCTTCTACCTTTTTGAATTGTCAGGGTAAGGAGCAAGATTTCAATTGAGAACAAGCTTGGTCAAAATGTACCATAGTACTTGACACAAAGTAAGAGATCAATAAACATCAGCTCTTGTGACTATTGCAAATTTTTAAACCACCATACTAGTAATTCTGATTTCTACATTCTAATTGTGCCATTTTTGAAAGTAAAGATTCCAGCATAAGTAATAGGCCATCATTCATCATGAATGCCTCACTCTCAGAGGAAGGTGGGCTGACCAGCAGTGCTGGAGGATTTATAAGTTATAGAGAACCTGGCAGAGGTTAGAATCTTCTACTCAGGGAAGAAAGAAAAGCACGCCCCAAATGGACTCATTGCTGAACTGAGACAAGATTTCTCACCAACACCACGGTTGTAATCACATCCTAGAAAGAGGCAAGCGAAACTCCACTGTAGGCATATACATCAGACAGGGGTTTTCATAACCTGTCTAAATTAATCCTTTAAATAAAATCCAAGGTGCTATCCTTATTTTACAAATTGAAGAACTGGAAACTAAAGTGATTAAATAACAGCTCCAAGGTCACAACAGCAAGTGAATTCCAAGTATGCTTTAACCAGTGTGATTGAAGAGCTCATGCTTTTAATTCCTGCTCAATAATGCCTCCTCCACTAATGTTCCTGCTTGCATAGAATGAAATAATATATGTTCTATTACTTAATCCTTTTATTAAGTGCCATAATGACTGTTATTTAATTCTTTCCAATGACCACAAAGGAATAATCTCATATAATCAAAGTCAATTAGCCATCACTTTCTCAAAGGAAAACAACAAAATCATAGATATCTAACAAAATTTTCAACTGGTCACTGGCCCACTCCATAGTTCATCTCTTGTGAACCTTCCCACTTAACAGTCCAAGAGTGAAAAATTAAGATGAACATAAACATCATCAGCAAACTTTGGAGATATTTGATATGAATTTTCATTTAATTCCTGTGATCACTTCAGTTGTACCACCCAGTCTCTCCCCATCCTATAACCAAAAATTTGGTTGTCTGGTTGTGTTAATAAAAATGAAAGGTATTAAACTGGCCCATGTATTTAAATGCTCTGCCTGAAGATTTTAACTATGCTTTCATTATTTTGCAGCTAGGAATAAAATCCCATAATGTACTACACATGACTTTACTCTTTCTGCTCTCATCAGCTACCTCACCACCTTCCCAACCTCCACTCGCATTCTCAGCTACTATAAGATGCACAAAGAGAATATAAACTTGAGAAGCATGATACCAGATTAGCCTTCTGTCCAGATTTTTCTCCCTTGGGTCATTGGAATCCATGAATAATTAAGTCAACAAGGTGTATTTCTTTTATGTCCTCATAAATCCCCTGGTTCTTGATAGTTAATTTCAAAGTTAACCACTTTCCAGAAAGTAAATTTTTCCCACAACTTTTCTATGACTTTCATGGTCAGTTAAAAGAGCCCTAACTAGTTGATAATCCATTTCCCCAAATTCAGTAAACTGGCACCATAAGTGGTTCATAAGGCAAGTTTGCAACATACTAGGACAGGTGTCACAGGTTCTCTACATGCCACTAAAATACAGTTGCTCTCATAAGAGGCTCACCACTGAAGGATGTAGGTGACTCACTTACTTGTGAAACCCAAAGACCCGCAATACAAATGACTATCTACTGAGCAGTGCTTTTCCAATCTTCTAGCTCAGTTACAACACTGAGGGGCTTACTCTGCCTGCTTTCTGTGTGGCCTTTTTTCTGCCACAACAAAAATACCCACTTCTGAGCAAACTGCTCTGTGTCTTTCTTTAAACTACTCCAAGACCTTAACAAGTATGTCTATAATACAGTCTGACCAGGCAGAAGGACAATGAAACTTTTTCCCTCATGTTCTTTACAAAAGCAAATGACTAGATAAAGCATTCCATCCAAAAGATTAAAAGGTCAATGTGTCTTCTTACATTTCAAAACAATCAAAATCATTTTTCTGAACCCTAAAAATTCTACACAAGCCAAGAAAACTCCAGCACTCCTCAATGGAGGACATCATGGACTGAAGTTCACCTTGAAAAAAGTTGCAGTTAACTGCCCTCTTGCCCACCTCATGAATAAATCTGTTATTCTGACTTAACTTTGCCAAAACATACACAGGAAAATGAAATTCCTTCCTAATGTTTATTGGCAAGTAACATATTTCCTTCCCCCAGAGAAAGTCGGGACAGGGACTGGTGTCCCCAACCTTCATCCTCTAAGGAAACTGCAAGAGGGAGACAGTTCAGCTACAAGAGTGTAATTAATGTCATTAAATCACTGTTGGGAGAATCATTAGGCTTTGAATTTAGAGGTCACCTCCCTGTAGGGATTTGCCAAGAAAAAATCCTCATGCTCACAGTGTCTTACTCATTCTGACAGCCCCTCCTGTGAGACAGGCAGACAATCTGCTTTGCTCTACACGGCCTCTCTGGGAAAACACAGACATTTCATTTAACATTTTTGGACACCTCCCCTAGAGGACCTTTTGCTTCCACTCCAGGGATCTATGCAAGACCTGCTTCATGGGCATGTGACCTGTACAGGTGCACAGGGCCCCACATTTAGAAAGGCCCATGCTTGGTTTAATGCTCTGATGTCACTCCCTTGAAAATCTTAATTTTTGACTGCACATTTCCATTTGACATAAAGCCCCACCAATGAGGTAGTCAGCCATAGATATGTACGCTGGGCTGAACCTGGAACAAGAGCAAGGAGATGTCATGTCAAGTAGACTGTGCCCTGCCACCTCCACAGGAACTGTGTACCCCAGAAGTGTGGTAGTAGACCAAATATTTGGGGTTCTCCTTCTGAACTAAAACTTGCTTTGTACAACAAATGAGTGGGAAGTGAGGACACGACTTCTGGGAAAAAGATTTCAAGGTCAGGGCTCCATTTGCTATGTTTCCTTTCTCCTGTCTCAGTAGTAGGGATGGAATTTCCCTCAGTAAGATCCCCCAGAGAAACAAACCCCAATATAACCTGCAATACAGAAGTTCTGTAAGTGAGATATAATTCCTGATGATGGAGACTAGTAAGATTACAGGGTTATTTTTCACATAACTTAGCCAATCTTTACAGACACAGGTCATAAACTCAGATTGGGTCCCACAGTATCCTTTGCAACACTTCGAGACTCATGCAGGAAGCTGGGGAGAAGAGGCAGAGTACATGGCAATAATGCTGCTTAGAATGGGAAAGAAGACTCCTACACAAAGACATAGGAGATTAAAGTAGCCCACAGGCTATTATTTAATTCCATCCAAGTGTTCACTGCTGAAACACAGAAAATACACCACTAGCAGGTCTCCTTTGTGATAAGTCACAACAGCAAATAAATTTGTGTGTGAGAAAAAAAGAATTTGATTCAATTTGCATGTATTTCCATCTCTGTCATTCTACTTCTCAAATATTTAGCAAGCACAAATTGCTTATTTTCTAGGGACAAAGAAAAGGGGAGAACTAAAATGACCTTAAAAGACCCCAAAAGTCACTATCTATCACTTTTTCCATGGCTGACTAGGGAAGATCAGCAGATAAATAATATTTTAATAAAATGTGTGGTAAGCTTGAGAAACACAGCTTAAAATAAAAATTCAACCTACTTGATATTTCTCTCTCACAAGCGAGGAATCAAGGTCAACATGAATTTGTAGTAGCCCCTGGAACAGCTCAGCAAGAAGGGTCTCTTCCTGCTTGCAGTTGGAACAGCTACAGTGTTCTTTTATTCATGACCAAATGTTTCCAGAATGATTAAAGTGGCATTGTAAATGTGCAGTCTATATCAGTTGAGTGATAAGGATTAAGTGAGATCCAGATTAAAATGCTAAGTGAGTTTGTACCAAGATCAAGTCAGATCTATAGTTAACACTAAGAAAATGCATGCTGGAAACGAAATGTAAGACAACCACTTGGAGAAATCCCAGGATAACAAATCGTTTTGTAGAAACTGTCTTCAATGGCAAGTTTGTATTTTCGAAAACACAACTGCTGCGCAATCTTTATAAAAAATATATAGCCAATGAAATAACCATCACGAATATTCACAGCGGACTGGGTTCAAAAGAAAAGTGCATAATAATTCCATTTCATTTATGGAATAAATGTCAATAGGCAAATTACAGAACTGTTAGGCTTACTACTGCAATGGAATAAAAATGGTTTGAATCTTATAGAGCTTTTTCCCTTTAATGCTCATAATTTAAAGCCAAAATGAATGGAAATTTGTTATTTATAAAACAATAGTTTAGACAGTTAATGTGACGTAACAAATAAAAAGGAAACATCATTTAAAAATATGTAATCACTGTGAGTAATGTCTTGAAATTTTGTAATGAGATAGAAACAAAAGCATGTAGCTTTTTTTTTTTACATTTTCCAAGAGATATATTATACAAAATACACTCAGAATCATAGATTGCTTTTTCTTCATCTTTTCTTCCCTGAACGTGCAGTTGTTTGAGTCTCTTGTGTTTCTTCTTTTACATCAGATACAGGCTGTCTGAAAACTATTTCTCATCATCTTTCATTTCAGCTGCTTCAGATTTTTGTCTCTCCAAATATGATGGTGTGCAAACTGGTGTGGGGCCCTGGCTGTCCACAGTCTTCTCAGGAGTGTTAGCAGTACCTGAAGTCTTTTTTTTCTTCTTGGGTATGCCAGAAGTTTTCTTCTTCTTTGAAGGTACATTTACCACCTGGCCATTTGTAGAGTTCTGAAGATCAATGCTTCCAACATTTTTCCCTTTCTGTAAAATCAATGAGGGAAAATCATAATCAATTCCCTTTTTAGCTAATTTCTTTCTGAGTAGTTTTTCTTTCTTTTTAAATCGCTCCTCCATCCGTAGCTTTTGTAGAAGTGTCCGATTCCGACTATACCATTTCACTGCTGGGTATGATGGCTGATGAAATGGAACATTCCATGCTTTAAAAAGTTCCTTATGTACTTTTTCAGGTGGCACAAAATGACACACCAAGAGCCTTTCACCAAAAAGGTAGTTGTTCATTGTATCAGCAACTATCTTGGCAACAGCCTCAGACTCAAACTCCACAAAGGCATAGCCTCTGCTATTTCCAGTCCTTTTGCTTCTGGACAGTCGGAATCTTGTAACAGTGCCACACTGGGAGAAACACTCTTGAATCTGGGTTTCATAAAGTGTTGGAGGTAGGTGGCCCACATAGATTACTCCAGGAGTAGGGGTTTCTTGCTTTTTTTTCTGGGTGACGTGCTTGCGGACTTGCTCCTCCTCCTTCCGAAACTGTGCGTCTTTCTCTGGGTTGAGAGACAGAATGGAGGCCGCAGGTCTGGAGAAGTCTGCCATGCCGGAGGTGCGCAGGCTGACCCACGCGGCGCTCCAGCATGTAGCCTTTTGACAGTATCATTTAAAGTGATCTGAAACACCAATGAAGAAATAGTGTTTTCACACCCTCAAAACTCCACTTCTATGTCTACCCAAACTTTTTTAAATTAGTGTATATTCTGTAAAACTTAACCCCATTTATCTGTGAGTCTTTAATCCTAACTTGCATTTTGGGGAAAGTAAAGGGCATCAATAGACTGAAATGTTTTGATTTTCCTGGGAAGTTTTCCCAGCTAGCTTCATGAAAACACTCCTTCCCACTCCTGTTGGACACTCTGAGTCTGTCTTCTTGCAGATGAGTATATATAGCCCTCATTCCTGGTTCTGTGAATGGTAACTGGGGAGTTATGAGAGCTTTTCATCCACTGTGCCAAATAAGTGTGAGGAGGCACCCAGAATGAAGTGAATGAGTAGCCACAGCACAGCACAGTGGCTCAGAATATGGGCTGAATCCATTCCAGTCTAAGTACAATCTTCAATCTGCGCACACCTCGAATTTCCACACTTGTGGCACATGGATGGTATTTTGTATAATACTTGACACATCATATACCAAATAACCCTCGTAAAGTTTCTACAGGTTATTCTGCAAGTAGAGAAGTAGCAATATATGGTTACCATGAGGTGTTCAGATAATTCTTTGCCTTCTTGGAAAAATCTAGAGAGATACTCTTAGCCTCTTGGCTCCTTCAATCTTCTTAGAGGAGTCAAAGCTTGCTCTCTGTGTACCACGCATGTTGATTCAATCAAGCAAGTGAACAAATGTGGCTGTCCCAAAATTGGACAGAAAAATAAAATACAAACTGTTGAACAAAGATCAGAAATAGACAGTTGCATGGGAAGAAAAAGTAGAAAATAAGATGCAGGGTCCAACCCCTGATGAGGTGTTAAATGGCTGGTAGGAGCAATCCCTACTGTAATCCAGTTAACATTTAGCACCTAATTATCACTTCTCAGTAGATAATTTTGAATTGCAGCCTCCATACTACACAGGAAATGTTTGATGCCTCTAAGCCATGACTCAGTCATTGCACAGGTATCAGCTCTCCATATGTAAGGAGAAAGAGATGTAGAATATCACTCCAGTTAACCAGTAAGAAGTCACCTTTTTTCTGGATCTGGCCTGCAGTTCAGAGAATTCTAGCCAAAGAGGATGTAGACGACTTAATCCAAGATTTCCTTCCACCTTGCCTCAAAGACCAGAAGCTATGGCCACTGTAGAAATACAATCTCAGGCCAGCGCCATGGCTCAATAGGCTAATCTTCCGAGTGCAGCGCCGGCACACCAGGTTCTAGTCCCAGTCAGGGCACCGGATTCTGTCCTGGTTGCCCCTCTTCCAGGTCAGCTCTCTGCTGTGGCCAGGGAGTGCAGTGGAGGATGGCCCAAGTACTTGGGCCCTGCACCCCATGGGAGACCAGGAGAAGCACCTGGCTCCTGCCCTTGGATCAGTGCGGTGCGTCGGCCGCGGTGCGCCGGCCGCAGTGCACCAACCATGGCGGCCATTGGAGGGTGAACCAACGGCAAAAGGAAGACCTTTCTCTCTGTCTCTCTCACTGTCCACTCTGCCTGTCAAAAAAAAAAAAAAGAAATACAATCTCAGACTTCAAACCCAGATTTTCTTCCACAGAGGGTACATAACAATACTAGAGATTCTCCACCACTGGTACCATTGTTTCCTTTGAGGGTTAGGGGATGATAAATATCTTGATCTTCCCAGTCTAAAAAAAAATGTTGTGAATGTCCTATTATTTGGTATATAGATAATTATATGTATTGCTTCACTGAATTACATGATGTAAATGACAATATATGCTCCTTTGCCCATTTTATGATCATTGTCATGAATATCACATTTTATGTTGTTAATATCCCTGTTTTCAAGGAATATTTATGGGAAAATGGCAGGACAAAGTTGTTACTTATCAATAGTCATCTTGAATGTAAATGGCCTTAACTCTCCAGTTAAAAGACACAGACTGGCTGAATGATTTAAAAACAAAACCCATCTATTTACTGCCTACAAGAAACACACCTCACCAACAAAGATGCACACAGACTGAAAGTGAAAACATGGAAAAAAGATATTCCATGTTAACAGAAACCAAAAAACAGCTCGTATAGCCATTCTAATAACAGGCAAAATAGACTTTAACACAAAAACTACTAAAACAGACAAAGAAGGACACTATGAAATTATTAAGGGATCAATTCAACAAGAAGTGACTATTATAAAGATATATGCAACTAATTACAGGGCACCTGCTATTTAAAAGAAATGTTAATGAGTCTAAAGAGAGACATAGACTCAAATACAATAGTAATGGGAATTTCAATACCCTACTTTCAGCAATGGACAGATCAACCAGACAGAAAACCAGAAAGGAAACAACAGAGTTAATCAACATTATAGACCAAATGGATCTAACAGATATCTATGAACTTTTCATCCTACAGTTGCAGAATACACATTCTTCTCACCTGTGCATGGAACCTTCTCTAGAACTGACCACATGTTAGGCCATAAGATAAGTCATAACAAATTCAAAAAAAATTGAAACCATACCTTGCATCTTCTCAGACCACAATGCAATGAAGCTGGAAAAGAAACACTCAGAAAACGAAGAGGCAATTGACAGAATGGAGAAATTATTTGCAAACTACGTAACTAATAAGGGATTCATAACCAGAATATATAAAGAGATCAAGAAATTCCACAAAAACAAAACAAACAACCCAGTTAAATTTGTACCAAGGACTTAAACAGACATTTTTCAAAAGCAGAAATCCAAATGGCCATGACACATAAAAAATGCTCAGGATCACTAGCCATTAGGGAAATGCAAATCAAAACCACAGTGAGGTTTCACTTTACCCCAGTTAGAATAGCTTTCATATAGAAATCAAAAAACAACAAATGTGGGGAAACAGGTACCCTAGTCCACTGTTGGTAGGAATGTAAACTGGTAAAACCACAATGGAAATCAGTTTGGAGATACCTCAGAAATCTGAATATAGACCTACCATATGACCCAGCCACCCCACTCCTGGGAATTTACCCAAGGGAAGTGAAATTAGCATATGAAAAAGTTACCTGCACCCCCATGTTTATTGCAGCTAAGTTTACAATAGCTAAGACATGGAATGTCTTTACCATAAGATTTTAGGGGCCAGCACTGTGGTGCAATAGGTTAATCCTCCACCTTCAGCACCGGCATCCCATATGGGCACCAGTTCTAGTCCCAGCTGCTCCTCTTCGAATCCAGCTCTCTGTTATGGCTTGGGAAAGCAGTAGAAGATGGCCCAAGTCTTTGGGCCCCTACACCCACAATGGGAGACCAGGAAGAAGAACCTGGCTCCTGGCTTCAGATCGGCACAGCTCCAGCTATTGCAGCCATTTGGGGAGTGAACCAATGGATGGAAGACCTTTCTCTTTCTCTCTCTCACTATCTGTAACTCTACCTCTCAAATAAATAAATAAAATCTTTAAAAAAAAAGATTTTAAAATGTCCCTTTATCATAAAAGGTACTGAGTGTCAACCTGGAAACATATTATCAAATTCTTGCTCATTTTAGAGTGAAGCACTGATGATCGATATTAACAGTATGGATGAAAACATCAACTATGTTTTGTGACTGCCACTATCATTTGTTTATTACATTGAGCTGCCAGTTATTTACTAGGGCACCAAGGGAGGGACACAGAAGACCCATGCTTGATTATAAAAGGTCTTCATCATGCATGCTCTCAGAGATGACAAGCATAGCTAAATTAGCTCTGGGAATGTTGTCAGGAAAACATCAAAGCAAGGAGGAAAATAGTACTAGGAAGGCTATGTGAAGAATCTTTCCATACTTAGCAATTGTGTTGAGACCTTATCTTTGGAATCAAACAACTTCATATCACATACATACATATGCACATACATGCACACACGCATACACGCATACACACACACACACACACACCATTATTGTAATTTTAGCTCCACGTTCAGGGAAAATGCTAGATTCAACTCCATGATGGCCTTGATAGTCATTGCTACATGTTTAATAAGTTAATATATTCTAAGTACTCAGAAGTGGGCCAGACCCAGGAGAGGTACTGTGTAAATATTAGCACATACTACTATTATGTCCATCCATTTTTTTTCCCACAAAAGCATTTGAGAATCTCTTAGAAGTCTAGTTCTGTAATTGGTGCTGTGGAACTATAAGAAATCAAATATGATTTCAAATTTTAAGGTTTTGGTGTGATGAAAATACATGAAAACAGACAATGATGATCAAATCCCTCTAAAAACCCTGTGAGTTCAGTATCATTCCAGTATACTCATGAAGAAGTCAAAATTCAGAAAAGTGACTTGAGGACATACAGCTGGTAATTCATGGAGTTGGGACTTGAAACCAGGTCTGTATAATCTCAAATCCAAGGTGAAGCTTAGACGATAGCATGCATGGTTGCCATAGCGACTACAGACATCTAATTCAGTAGTTAGAAAAGAAGACATTAAAGCAAGATGAATCTAATTCTGCTGTGAAAGCTGCTGAAAGTTTCTGGGAAGAGATGACATTTGAGCAGAGGAGATTTTAAAAAACTAAAAAAGATCAAATAGGAAAAGAGTAGGGGTATGTCAGCATCCCAAGGCTTAGAATCACAGTCTTCAATCAGGACAGCTGATCTGCTCACCTGTGAGTATTTATTGGTCAGTTACTCCACATAAGATCATATTGTGCACAGACAGAATACAAAATAGATTCCAAAATACCTGCCAACCCTAGGACTCTTCCTCAAGTAGAGAGCTGACTAGGTTGGCTCCTCAGCCCTCAGTCCCTGCAATCTGTGTGTAGATTCTCCCACTCTGGCATAGAAAGCAGGTATAAAACGTCTCTGAATGGAGCATTGCTATAGACCAGATGTTTGATTACCCCCAACATTCATATGTTGAAATTCTAACCCCCAGAGGGATGCTGCTAAAAGCTGGGAACTTTGGAAAGCAATTAGGTCATGAGAATGAAGCCTTGACAAATGGGATTAATTCCCTTCTAAGACAGGAGAGCACTCACTTCTTTCTCTTTTCACCAAATGACAACACAATGGGAAGTCTGAAACTTACAACATGATCTTCCCCAGAACCCAACCATACTGGTACCTTGATCTTCCAGGCTGCACAACTCTGTAAGAAATAAATGTCTGTTGTTTAAACCCCCCAATCTTAGAAGAGCCAAAACTAAGATAACAGTTCCTATTACTCCAGGATGCACGTGTTGGAATCTCAGAATGCAGGTTACAAGGAAGAATTAGGACTCTAGTTTAATCTAGACCACAAATATGGTTCAAAAGTTACTTGGACGAGCGTGCATTACCATGGATGCATTTATTATGAGGAAACTGTGAGCCGGGAATATAGAGGAGGTAAAATCATGACATGCGCAGAGTAGCAGAGTCAAAAGGAACCCAGTTCAGTTCATGAGCCAAACGTCAAGAAATGAACCAAACGTCAAGAAATGCTCTCCACTGAGCCTACCAAACACAATGACAGGCTTCTCAATGCCTCCTGTGGACAGAAGGAAAGTGGCTGGAAAATCTAAGGTGTTTGTAATGAATTTGAAAACCTATTAAATTGTCTATGATTCTGTGGCACAACATAATTAAACCACTTGTAGCACACTTCACTTATTCCACAGAAAGTTCAGTTGATGAACAACATAAGGTCCCTATCCTACAGACTTCATGGTCAATGTTGATAGGAAAACATCTAGAGAACTATTAAGGCTCCTGTTAGGAAACTGGCGCAGTTTTATCTATGGCGTGATCTACACCTGATTTACATCCCAAGCTCTAGCCCCCCCCCCCATTGCTGAAAGCCAGATGGCCACATGGCCCAACCTCCGTTGTTAAGCTCCACCCCCATCCTAATGGGATTCGATGCTCCTGCTTCCCTGCCCGCCCTCGGGCAAAGTTTTAAAAGGGCCTGTTCCTGAGCACGTGCTCTTGGCTCCTCTCATCTCTCTTCTCTATCTTCTCTCCTCACTAGGTCCTCTCCTCTCTGTCTCTCTCCCTCTCTTATATTCTCCTTTTCCCTCTTCGCCCCTTCCCTCCAGTCTGCTGGGTTTTCCCCAATAAACCCTTTCCCTTACTCCAGTGTTCGGTGTGCTTTGTGATGGCTAACAGAAATATATAACAGCTCCTACTAATGATAATAGCAGCAATTAAGAACTTTCATATGCCAGCTGATTCATCTTTATTTTTCCTGATCTTTGTGTTTATTCTCTGAAAGAGGTATTTTACCCCCATTTTAGGTTTAAATTGACCAAGACTCACAAAAGTTTAAAAACTTCCTTAAAATAGCACAACTATACATAGCAGTGCTGGTCTAAACCCTAGATGAATTCCACAACCCAAAGTATAATACCTCTTCCTAAAGTCCCAGATTGCTCAGAGTAAAGGGAAAGGTAATAATATAGGCCTCATAGTAGTGCTTGGACAGAATTACAATGCAGGGAGACTGATTCAAATCTTGATTTTTCTGCTTGCTAATCCTGTGATCCTTGAGCAAGTTACTAAATACAGGGGCCTCATATAACAAAAGTAAGATTAGTGAGAGAATTATATAAGATTGGATGTTGTCAAGGTGCCAAAACAATGCCTATCAGAGAACAGATTCTCACTTAGTACTAATTGAACCTGAAAAATAAAGTATATTTCACATTAAGCTAACTCAAAATAATTTACCAAATGTATGTTTTCATTTCAGTTTCCAAAGAAGATTCCTCTAGGATTCCATTAACAGAAGAATATTACTAATGTGTAAAATCTAATTTGATTTATCAACATTGACTTTATACAGGTTCCTTGGCATATTTATTTCATTAGCAAGGTATGCCTGAGGCCTAGTAATTGAGACACTACTTTCCTCTTGCATCTCTTAAACACTGCTCCCCAAACAAATCAAATCCTATGTCATAAAATTTAACCAGTCTGTTGTTCACTGTTCAAATCAGTGGTGACTTACAAATGGTGAGGAAACTAACAAGTATTGTGTGACTATCATGTTCTACTTTTGTTATCTAAATGCCACCAGGCAGGTTCACAACAAGGTTCGCAAACACTACTCTTGATCACTCCAAACCCTGAGATCTTGTCAGCCATCCCAACTCCTAGAGGAGCAATCAGTCTATCTGCTGAGATTTCTCTCGCCTCTAATTATAGTAGCCATGTATCCTGGGCTTTCCGGCTGATTTGAAACATTCTCTCTGTCATCAGACCATGTCTCTCAATTTAGAGGTTGGAAATATGTTTATTGTACCTTTAATTTAAAGCATGAATAGGGAAGAAGGGAGGAAGGCAGGGAGGGAGGAATGGAAAAAAGAAGCAAGGGGCTCTATCTCCTCACCCACACATGGCTCACATGAGGCAGTGGCACATTCATTTATCCAGGAGATAGATGCAGTAGCCACAAGGGATTCATTTACAAGGAAAATACAGCCCTCAAAGAAACAAAAAGCATGACTCCACGAAGGTTGGCAGGAAAACCACATCTGTTTGCAGATCTCTCTGTCCTACAGCCCCTCGCTTTGTGTTATTCACGGTCATTTGTAGAACTAATCAACTGCTAGATGAGGTGTGGATCTGGTTATTTTATTTTTTTAATTTATTTTTATTTGCTTGTATTCAGCAAGACTGCTTCTCCTACCCTGACAAATTAATTACCTGTGAATAAGTCTCAGTAACCCCAGACATTCTAGGAGGAAAGAATGGTGGGCACATGTGCTCATCATTTCAAAATGTGGCCTAATCAACGAAGCAATCATAACATGGGGCTCTGTTTTGGAGCCAAGGACAGAGAGCCTGCTGCGGGTTCTTTCCGACACTGTTTTCATCAGCATCAAGTGCCACGGAGCACAATTTCCAGGACTATTAGCAGAAGGGATCTGATATTACCCTGTGGGAAAAGAGAAAAGCCACAGGGGCAGAGCAGCTGTTAAGGAGGAAGCCCCAGGAAATGGAAGGCTGCACCTGGAAGGTTCTCCCAGAGAGCTCTTAAAGGCAGGGGAGGAAGAGGCTGTGGGACAGCAGAGCCTCGCTGTGATGGAGAAGCGCCCTGCCTTCAGAGGGGACAGAGCCTATTGAACATTGGGGTGCTGGGCCCTCCCAGGGGGCCAGGGTTGGTTCTGGGTACAGTGACTCATGTGATCTCTTAGTGCTTCGGGCTACAATTTATATTATACTTGCAGGAGCTTGCATCCAAGTCACCTTGCAATTTCTCCTTAATTGGTCCACCTGGATCTGAACCTCCAAATGGTTTTAAGTGTCTCAAGGGCAGGAACCAAGTCTGCTCCTTCATTTATAACTTTCTACAATGCTGAGCAGCAAAATAACATTTGTATACTGCTTTATCATTTGCAGATTGTTTCTTGGGCACCAGCTCACTGCTCTTTGTCATGACTCTGAGAAGTGGGAACTGTCATCATCCTATTTTTACACAGTCCAAGTTCAGGGACCTCACTGAATCTGCTTTATCTATGGATGATCCTTGTTATATATTAATGTTAGCCGTCGCAAAACACACGGGACACCGGAGTAAGGGAAAGGGTCTATTGGGGAACACCCTAAAGACTGGAGTGAAGGGGCGGCGAAGGAAAAAGAGAGAAGGAGGCTGTAAGAGAGAGAGACAGAGGAGGGAGAAGAGAGAAGAGAGAAGCCAAGAGAGGCCAAGAGAGCGCAGGAGATAAGGACTGAGAGAGCACGTGTTCGTGTTCAGGAACAGGCCCTTTTAAAACTTCACCTGAGGGCGGGCAGGGAAGCAGGAGCAGCGAATCCCATTAGGATGGGGGTGGAGCCTGGCTCAGGTAGCTGGGCAATGCAGCCACCTGGCTAAAACTGCCCCAGTTTCCTAACATTCCCCCCTTTTGTTTTTTATAAAGCAGGATTTGTATGGGATTACATTAGTCCCAAAAGTCCAGGAGGGGTAGAGGGACGATGATCTGTCTTTAGAGCTACTTCCTGCTGACACAGGGCAATGGAGGCACTCTTCGCTGGCATGGGATGATGTCTCAAGTCGCTGTCTCCTGGGTGGGGAGCCAAGTAAATCTTTGTAGCAGCATTTGGTTGACTGCCTGGTTATTGAAGGCCTTTGTTCCATTATAGCCTGCTGTAAACACTTAGACACTGTAGTATAAAAGGGTGAGAACATTAACCAATGATCCTAAGAGGAGCATAACCAGGTAATGAGAGGATTTTATAGAGGAGAGGAAATGGGGGGGGGGGGGTCCTCTGGACCCTTGTGGGGACAGTTTGATGGATGTGGCTTAAAGCTGATTCCAGCCAAGACTGGGAGAAAGGCCACTTGACTTTTGCAGGTAGCTGGGCTTGTCTGTAGAGAAATTCTGAACAGTCATACAACATTAAGTAGGGGAGAGGCCCATCAGTACACACAGGTTGGGAGTAGAGCCACTGGTGGTAGAGTAGAGGTTATAATTACAAAGAAATGAGGCTCAAGTGGGCTAGATAGAGTTGTTATTAGAGAACCTAAGAAAGGTGCTATCTGAGCTACAATTAAGTTTTCTGATTGAGAGGCAAATAGAACCTGACAGAAGGGGCTTGATAATGATCAGGTGGGCTTTAAAGCCTTATAAATTATGAGGCCCAGACTTATCTATCTCTTCATAGGGTACATCCTATGGGAGGTATGAACCTCCTTAGGGAAGGCACCCTGTGGACTTCCATTACCTACCTGGCCTGGGAGGAGAGCTGGTAAAGGCAGGTGGCATCTCACAGGAAATTTACAGTTCTGCCTGCAATGTTACTGACCCTACTTGGCCATTTCCTCAGTTGCAGTGGTCACTTTGGAAGCTGGGCTGAGTGAAGGGCTTTTCCGCTTAGAGCCAATAAGATCTGTGGCTCTGACCTGGACATCCCTCGACTCCAGGGCAGGTCCATTTCCAGTGATCCAACTCTTGGCTGGCAGAGCACCCAGGGCTCTTGACAAGCTGACTTCTGCTGAAGCCTAGGCTTTCCACACTGAAAGCCACTGCAGTGGACTGGCCCGTTGGGTCTCCTTGAGAGCAGATCACTGTACAGAGCAGCCATTAATAGGCCTGCCACCCATTGCTTCTGATGCCTAGCTTTCTTTTCCTCCTGGGGTTTGTTAAACCAGACCAGAGGATGCAAGTCAAGGGGGTGCTCAAGTCCCATCTCTAATCTTGGTGGCCTAAACTAGAAGCCTATAATCACAGGCATGTTCTGTAGTTTTTCTAAGGTAGACAATACAATGCCCATGAGGAAAACTATACTCTCACTTTAAAACTTTCTTTCCCTTTGTTCTGAAAGGGAGGTCTTTCCTGTTTACCTCGCTGATGGCGAAGTAAATCTAGCTATGAAATTATAATTTAAGCTCTTATTTTGGCTATGCTATTACAGAAAATGTTAGCCATCTCTTTTATAAGATCTAAAATCAAATTTTGAATCTTGGAGATTCCTTCACAATAGAAATAGTTTCCTACCTCGAAGAGAAGAGAAATGAGGGAACAAGTTGGGCTTAGAATAGAGAAATGGGGGAGCCAGTCCCAGATCACTTACTGACAATAGCAATATTACATGAAAACTTAGAAAGCAGTTTTAACCATTAGATAACAACTTAAGAAAACATTTACCAGAAGGTCCAATGCCTT